CAAGTGAATCTTTCTAAGAGTAGAATGTGAACGTTTTAAAACAACTGAGAAAATGACATGAAGGCTGTGTTGACCAGTTTGATGGAAGTATTTCGGATTGTGTGTGAAAACCCCACACTGTACCCCAGAAGTGCATTAATGTACATAGTTACCATTCAATAAAAACAAAAACAAAAACAAAAAAACTACACACTCTCACAAAAGAGAAACACAAATATTGTCTGGAGGGGGCAGGAGGCAGGGGGGTGTTTGGCAGGATCTCTACCTGGTGTGCACATGTGAGGGTGCGCAGCACACCCCCTGGGTGAAGGGCTCAACTACAACTTGACTTGACCTTAGAAATGAAAACAATGTAACCTAAACATTTGTACCCTCATATTAATCTGAAATAAATAAAAAATATAGAAACTACTCTATGATTACACACAAAAATAAAATAAAAATGGGAGAAAGAATTGAATGGATGTTTCTCCAAAGAAGATGTACACACGCCCAATAAGCCTGTGGACAGATGGTCAGCATCGCTAAGGACCAGGGAAAGGTAAATTCAAACCGCAATGAAGAACCACTTCACCCCCAATCGGACGGCAACTGAAGAAAAAGAAAATGACAAGTGTTGGCAGGGAAGTGGAGATACTAGAACTCGTGCACCATTGGTGGGAATGACTGGGCAGGGGAAGGGAGGAACAGGGAGAGATGTGTTAAGGACGTAAGTGTAAACTCCAGCTAGATAGGAGGACTAAATTCTGGTGTTCCTGATGAGAATAGTTAACAACAATACATTATATAGTGTCAAATAGCTAAGAAGAGGATATTGAATGTCCCTAACACAAAGAAATGATAAATTTGGAGCTAATGGATGTGGCTAATTACCCTGATCTAATCATAGTACGTTATATGTACTGAAATATCACTGGGTACCCCAAGAATATGTATAATTAGTGTTGATTTAAAAAATAAAATAATTTTAAAAGAAACTAAGAAAGTACAAAAGATGGTACAGCTGCTATAAAAATCAGTATGGGGGTTCCTCAAAGAAGTAAAAATAGAATCACCATACGATCCAGCAATCCTGGTCTGGGTATATATATACCCAAAAGAACTGAAAGCAGGATCTCAAGAGATATTTGTACATCCCTGTTCACAGCAGCTTTATTTACCATAGCCAAAAGGTGGAAGCAACCCAAGTGTCCATCAGTAGATGAGTGGACAAACTGTGCCACATCCACACAGTGGGATCCCATTCAGCTGTAAAAGGAAACTCTGACACCTGCTACAACAGGGATGATCCTTGAGGACTTCGTACTGAGCCACAAAAAGATAAAGACTATGATTCTCCTTACATGCAGTACCTAAGATAGTCAAATTCATAAAAACCAAAAGTAGAACGGTGGTTGCCAGGGCCCGGGGGAGTGAGTGTCTAACGGTTCCAGAGTTTCAGTTTTGCAAAATGAAAAGAGTTCTGGAGATTGATGGTGGTGATGGTCACACGACATTGAAAATGTACTTAAGTGCCACTGAATTTACACTGAAAAATGGTTAAAATGTAAATCTTACGTGTACTTTAACACAACAGAAACAGTTTAAATATAGTATGTTATTATAAAAAAAAAAAGTGAACACAAAACAGCCAGTGAGTTTTGAGGGCCAGAGGAAGCCAGGCAACGCCAACGTGGAACTGTGTCCTAGGCTCTCCCTCACCCGGGCAGCCAGGAGAAGCCTAGCCAGGCACATGCAGTGGGGACACCCAGGGTCTTCAAGTGTGCCTGAGCCGAGGGCACTGTCCAGAGTTTCCCAGAGCTTCCAGGGCAGCAGTTCCTCCACTCCCTCCAGCTACAAATCCAGATCTAATCCTAAAGAACAGCCTATTGGCTACCTGGGCAGGTCCCAGAGAAAACTCCTCTAACCACAATGGCCCTGGCTGCAGTGCCCGGTTCCTCCTCTGACAGCAGTGAGCTCACAGGCTGCTTGAGCACTGCCATGTTTCCTCTCACCTCCCACATGGTCCTCCCTCACTGGGGGGCTGCAGACCCTTGTCTCCTCCCCGTGGCCATGCTCACCTGTGAGTGGTTTCACCCCTTCTTTTCCCTTCTCCCCCCTCAGTCTTCTAGGAAGGCTCTGAAAGGCCAGAGGATACCACTGTCTCAGGCCACATGGTGCAGAGAGCAAGCGGTGCTGTCCCCAGTGTATGGACATGGAGCCTTGTCAAGGGTCTCAGCCCAACACATGGGCAGGCCATGATTTCTCCCTGAGAAACGGCTTTCAGACAGCTATATGCAAATGTATTGCTTTGTTCCTTATTAAACAAAGCCTCCAAACCGTGGCCTTCCTCTGAAATACAATGACTATCTTTGTTTTCCCTTGCTTTTGAGCGATCCTCCAGCACTAATGCCATTTTACTTTTATTTTTATTTTTTTAGAGACAGAGTCTCACTTTGTTGCCCTCAGTAGAGTGCTGTGCCTCTTGGACTTAGGCCATTCTCTTGCCTCAGCCTCCTAAATAGCTGGGACTACAGGCGCCAGCCACAACACCCGGCTATTTTTTGTTACAGTTTGGCCAAGGTGCGGGGTTCAAACCCACCAGCCTTGGTATATGGGGCCTGCACCCTACTCACTGAGCCACAGGCGCCGCCCACTAATGCCATTCACATGGTATTACCCTCTCACTTCATAGGCACCCACAGCCACTGCTCCCACCAAGAAACAGGAAGAGCATTCCGAAGCCAGCACTGTCCCTTCTACGGCACAGGCCTGCTCTCTCCACCACCTGCCACCTCAGGATGGAGGCATAGCTTTACCTGGTGCCTGGAGAGAACTCATTTCTCTGAAGTCCTCCAAGGACCCCTAACCCCATCCTGCTGGGAATCAAGCAGCAGCCAGTTCTTCCCTGGAGCAAGAGTTTCCTGCAGTTGTGGTCTTGGTGGAGGCTCTGGGGACACTCCTCCTCTTCCCACCCACCCTTGGGGACACCAGGAGGCATCCCTACTGCCCACACAGCTGCCTCCACGCAGGAGCTCTCCCGACCCTGCTCACCTGCCCCAACATGTGGGGGAACAAGTTGGGAACAAGTTGGGAACAAGTCGGGTCACCCAGAGAGACTTGTGAATATCTGCATATTTGTCTGTGTCAGAGCTGTTAACAACCAGCTCCCTAGCTGCAAAAGTACCCCAGGGAAGGGTCAAAGGACAGGGGAAAGGAGAGGGGAGGGTGGAGGAAAGCACAGGTGGCTGTGGTCCCTGAATCCAGGGTCCTTCTTCTTTGGCACAGGATGGAGGAGCCACGGCCCGAGGCCACATCCACACAGGGCACCCACCTGTGCGAGCTCCGGTTCCGAGAACAGGACGTCCTCCCCGTCGTCCGGGCCCACATTCAGCTTGGCAGGGGTGGCCTCTGGGACCTTGCCTGTGAGGGATGGGGCAGGCTGGGGCCTCTCTCGCTCGGTGTGGCCGGGATGGGCATGCTGCTCCTGGCGGATAGCGACGGGTCTCTCCACCTTGGCCTCCCTGTCCTTTGAGGTGGGCTCCTGCCGGTAACAGGCAGGTAAGACCTTCTCCCCTTTCTCTATGGACTTGATTTGGCTGGGGGTCAGCGACTGGAACTCCGCATCGGGCCCCTCCCCGCGGGAGCGCTCAGCGTTGATCTTCCAGAAGGATGCTTCCTCCTCCTTGCGGGTGGGCCCCAGGGCATCCAGGCTGGAGGACCTGCTGCCCTGGGAGGACTTGAGCGCCTGGGAGCCCTGAGAAGGTTTGGGCAGAGGCCTGGGCTCGCCAGCTGTGCTGCCATTGGTCGGCTCCTGGATGGATAAGGAGGAGACGCTGAACTCCATCTGACTCTACCGCCACGTAGAGGGAAGAGAAAAGAAAGAAGGCAGTCCTTAGAGTGGGCTCCTGGCTGTGCCTGCTAACTCCACCCCCCACCCCCACCCCCACCCCCACCCCACTCTGCGCACCTACACCTATAACACGCACTTGCGGGACTTCTGTCTGCTGAGTTCGGGCTATTTTCAGGACTGATGTTGCATACTTGAAATGCACCAGAAGCTTTGATCTTGCAGTCCCATCACTCATTGTGCTACCAGCAGCATGGAGACCCCTGGATTTCACTAACGGTTAAGGGCACCCACCTGTCTCCCTCAGTGAGATTCTGGCCTTCCTGAATAGGACCTGCCTGGAAGGGGAAGTCCCCACTAGGAGGGTGAAGAGGAAGGGTGCCCACTAGAGCACAGGGCCCCTTACCCGGTCAGAGCCCAGCCCAGCCCATCACCACCCCGAGGGCAGGGCAGGGCAGGGCAGGGCAGGGCAGCTGATGTGGCATCTGGGTATGTACAAAATGCTCTCCTCCATCCAGATGCTGCTGACCACCGGTGACCTCTAAACAGGATATTGCTGAGCTGTTCTGACCAACAAAATCATTACAGGCAAACCTAAACATCCTCTTTGGAGTAGAACATCCCCTTCCAAGCTCTGTAGAACAAGCAATTTGCAACCTCGATAATTTCTAAAATCAATCCTGAACATTTCTTTCTCCCTTACCATTTCTACTCCTTCATACTCCCCAACTTTTTATGAAAATAAATCAATTGATTAATAAGTAACAAAACCATATTACAGAAAGTGTGAAAAACGTACATAAAGAAAAAAAAAACAGCGTTAACTCTTCACTCTTCCCATAATCACTTTTGTATTTCTGTGTTAACTTTTTCACATCCATATTTTATGAAGCTGTGGTCCTATTAAGGTATGAAATTTGGGGTGTTGCTTTTTCACTTCTTAACAAGCATCACCTATATTGTGGCATTATAACTATTATTATTACTATCATTTGCAGTTTTTGGCCAGGGCTGGGTTTGAACCCACCACCTCCGGAATATGGGGTCGGTGCCCTACTCCTTTGAGCCACAGCGCCGCTCTATAACCATTATTTTTAATGGTTACAACATACTTCATTCCACAGCTGTCTCACTACTACTTAATTTCTCATTATCAGTCTGCTACTTCTAATCCTCACTGTTGTAATTGGGGTTGCCATGAATATCTGTGTGCATATAGTCTCTGCCCTATCTGGGGTTAATTTCTTTAGATAGATTTCTGGACATGAACTATCAAAATACAGCACAAAAGGTTAAACCTCTTTTGTTTGTATGGTTTTAGATGTATACTATCAAATTTGCTTTTCAGGGGCTGTCCTGAATTTCTAAAGCCATCAGCTATACATTAGAGAATTTTTAGTCACTGACTGTAAAAATATAAAATTATCTGTACCAAATTAATATATAAAACATGGTTCTTTATTACTTTCATGCATACTACTTCACTTAATCAACGGTCCATTCAGTTCTATAAGTTTTTACAAATAACAGCACTCTCCAGGACACTCACTATTGGGCAGGGACATGTCTCTTAGGGCAAGGATGAAATGCCGCTTTCCTTGCATGCATGGCAGGCCCTGCCACACAGAGGGTGGCATATTTCTCTGGGTCTGAGGTTTCTCTGAAAGGCCTGGCTTCTGACAGCCAGAGATCTTCCCTCCAGGTTCAGAAGGTGAGATGATGTGGCCATGAAGAACACAAGTTCAAATCACAAGACCAGGCTGCCCTGAAGCTTAATGTAACATGAAATAAACCCAAGGAACAGACATCAAGCCATGACTCTGTGTGGAACTCTGCTTAAGAACAAATGTAGATGGCTCAGTGTGTCTGAAGCATCAAGGTTTGCAGATTTTTATTGTTATTCTCCTTCTACAAATGTGAGGTTTGGAGTGATGAAGTAAATTGTCCGAGGTCACCAGTCCATAAGAGATCGTACAGCTGGGATTTCAGTGTAGATGGACTGATTCCAAGGCCTGAAGCCTGAAAATCATTGCACATACAAATAGCCAGCAGCCACCAGGTACAGCGTCCATGAAAACCACAGAAAGCTTTATACATACTGGGATTTCTCTAAGTATGGGGATGATCTAATTTTATTTTTAAAGAATTATTTCTTAGTGAAGCAGACTGAATCTTCTAAGTATTTCCAAATTCCACAACAGAATACAGGGACACCATGGCCACAGAGATGATGGTTTTCCTTAAACACATGACTAAAAATGGCTTGGAAGCAGGGCCCCAGACTCAGAGGACACAGCTGCCTTTGATCGAGAAATTGTAGTGTAAGGAAGGCATTTAAAATAAGCACTTTGTCAAACCCCAGGCTTTTTTGGGACTGACAATTTCTCCAGCAAGGTCTTTGTTCAGAAGCTTCTGCACTCTGCAGGGCGAGGCTGGACCACCATTCTCCGTGGAGGGCACCAACAGGCTGCACCAAGGAAGGTGGAGGGGCTCCTAGGCTGCCTCGGGGCCACTGCTGGAAGGGAACCAGCAGGCCACAGCTGGGCCTGACCTCCTCAAGCATAAAGAGCTTGCGCCCATTGCTTTTTGGGTGACTGGAGGTTTGATGACAACTCTTCAGAGGAAGGTGTTATTTGGTTAGAGGAAAGGGCTATGCTGGGAGAAGCAGCTGCCTAGCTTGGGGGCTTTGGAGGTGAATGTGGGGAAAACAAGAACTTAAAGAAGAAAAAAATTCTAATGAATTTGCTTCTGAGTCTTTTTCCTATGTATATTTACATTGGTCTCGATTTTGCAAGTGTGACTACAAGCTCCTTTCCAAGAACAGCCTGTGACACCATGGAGGTGGACAGCAGAGGCCAGGGAGGGTCTAGGAGGAGGGTAAGAGAAGCTCACAGGCCCCTGACACGCGCCACTGTCCCCCACCAGCCCCCCAGCCTGTAGCTGGCCTCACTTCTGATGTTTCCTCCCTGTTCCATGATAATCACCCAGGCCGGACAATTCTCCTCACAAGTGTGTTCTACTGGGCCCACCTCTCTCATTTCCTGGCTCCACCTGCCCCCTGCAGTCTCCCCCCTAGTGCCCTCTCCAGACCCTCCTACACATGCACATCTGCAGGGATGGATTTTCCCAAGGATGGCTGCCAAGCCCCTGCCACTCTGGCATGGGCCAGTCATCCCTCCCCTTGATCGGGTGGCCTCAAAACATTTGTTGACCAAGAGATGAGGTCAAAGGGGTGCTGTGCCCATCCCCGTGCCATGCCTGGCAGCTTCTGCTTCCTGATGGGAGGCCAGCCAGGGAGGGACGCAGCCCTTCCACCCAGAGCATTGTGCAGTGTGCAAGTCCTCAAGAGTACTGAGCTGGTCATCCCGGCCAGCCCTCCTGGCCAGCTCCCCTCAGACTCTCCTATGAGCACCACTGCCTTGGGCTCGCTACAGCGCTCACATAGGGGTCCAGAAGTACCCCTGCCAGAGTGAGAATTCCACAAGGCAGGACAGCCTTCCTCTTGCTCAGACACCGAGTCCAGCATCAGAAGGGCCCTTGAACTGCTCAGAGGCTGCCGTGTCCCTGTCTCTCAGAACATTCCAGAGCAACATAGGTGAGGAGGGCAGTGTCCCAGGCAGTCCCACAATCAGCAGGCTCTGCAGGGTTCACAGCACAGGGCAATAGCTCTGCTGTGAGGTGCCAGGAGGGAGGCTCCAGGACAGTGCTCCTACAAGCTGTTACTCTGGGTACAGACCTGCCTGCAGGACTCAGCTAGGGACAACAAAGACCACACGCAATACCCTGGGGATCACAGTAAGGCATGAGAGGGGCCAGAGCCACCAGGAATACTGCACATGCTCCAGAACTAGTGACCAAGGGGTGGAGGCGAGTTGATCTCAGGCCACAACTCAGAACAGCAGTGGAGCACTCTGGTGTACGGGGCACTCAGCACATGCCAGGCTCATGCTGACACCTTTACACACATCCACTCACTTAACCTGCCCAATAGTCCAACGAAGTCAGATGATTCTTATTCTCTTTTTATTTAAGAAGAAAAAGGCCTGGGATTGTAGCCCTGCACACGCTGTCACACGTCTACCTGGGGCCTCAAATAGGTGCAGGGCAGGGTGAGGGGAAGGCTAGAAACGTAATTCTCCTACTTCTAGAAAAAAGCCTATTTCTTTTCTGGTGTGGAAAAGGAGGTGGCTGTCAGGAAAGGAGGTCACATCAGCCCTCTCCCACCACCCTGAGCAAGGGGCGACACCCAGCAGGAGGGTGCCGTGTTTGGAGGAGGGGAAGGGACTGGTGGCTGACAGACACCAACGCATTGGTGCCGGCTACAGGCAGAAAGTCAGACTTAGGGGTTCAACATAGCAAGGTCCTTCAATATACTTGAGACAGAGCAGAGGGGACAGTCCCTAAGGAAGCCATCCCTCCTTGCAGCAATGCTTAGCCCCACCCTCAGTGTCCCAAGAGGCCAGGGAGGATCTTCTGGGAGGACTTTATCCAGCCAAGCCAAGGCTGGGCGTCAGTCACCCGTGAGGGGAGCTGGGTCTCAGCTGGTCACATCCATTCTAAAAACAGAAAGACCACAACTGAGCCCAGCCTCTATTTTTATGTCCCACTCACTGGAGAGGAATGTGCAATATTTCAGTAAAGGGGGAGTGCACGCCGCCAAAACTAACTGTTTGGCTTGGCAGCCTCCCACAGATCCAAATTGTTAAGACAAAGGCTCTAGCAGCGTTGTCAGAAAATGCAATCGTTTATTGGAGCAAATCCTAATAATCATCAACCATTTCACATCAATTCTTTCCACCTCCATTCTGAAGAAGGAAGAGGAGGAAGAATGGAAAACACTAAAATCTTCTAGACTCACAAAACTAGTATCAGTGGCACTGTGACAGGGATGAGACAGCATGATCTGGAGACAAGCTGTGGTGTGACAGTGCCTGGTGGCCCACTCGCCCCAAGTCCCAAGGCTCCTGACATGGACTAAACTAACAACCTGTATGTTCACCAGGCCAGGCCCTGCCGGGAGCCCCGGGCCTAAGGACACGGGGCTGTGGAAGTGGGGACACAAATACTATCTCAGGCTGACTGGGAATAGCTCTGCTGAGATCCAGCAGGCAGAGGGTGGAAAGGGTACTGGGCCTGGTCATTGAGGTTAAGGGACAGGTGACAGTCTTTGCCCTGCAGAGGCTTGTCATCTCACAGGAACACAGATGCAGTGACAAAGAATTCATAAACACCATCCCATTTTCATCTACCACAGGACTTCTGAACAGCAACATGGAAGAGGGATGATTCCAAAAGCTGTGGCACCGGGCTGGGCTCAGGACTGCTTGGCTCACGTCTGCCACTACATTATGCTGGGTGTCCCCACCCGTGATGTGGGTAGCTGTGAGCACTAACCAAGGACACGCACCCTAGGCACTCAGACCAGACCTGGGAACGTGGCAAGGTTCGTGACTGGGACAACTATGAAAAGGGGGACTTTTGCTGAGGCTGGAGAGCAGAAGCCCTTCACAGACAGCTGGGGGGACTGCGACGAGACAGTGGGGTAACGAAGGACGTGGCCCCAGAGGCTGGAGAGAACAGAGCCGTGGGATGGGCAGGGCTGGGTGGGTAGGACATCACCCCACATGTAGGGGAGCAGGAAAGTTCTCAGCAGGAGACACAGCAGAGCCCTGGATCTCAGCGAGAGTCAGGAACAGTCCAGGGTGTGGGCGGAAGGGAGACTACTAGGCAGAGACAGAGGGTCTGGGATTAGAGGATCCAGGGGCCCCAAGTAGTACAGGAGCTATGCTGTGGGGTGGGGGGGAGTCAGGCAAATCCTCTATGCACAGAACACCCTGATGGAATGGTCCTTCTGTTCCTCATGGGCAGCAGACACCTGCAGGCCACAGACAGACCCCAGCTCCAATCTCTGTGCATCCATACCACCTGCCAGGTATCTGACATCTAGGTCCTGACCTGCAGCAGGGAGGGAACCCTAGCCTCCCAGAGGTGAAAAAAATCCAAGTATGTGTACAGCTCTGTCATTGCGCATAGCCCCATCACTGCACACAGCCCCATTACCGCCCACAGCATAGAAGAGGTGCTTGTGCTCATAAATGCTTCTCTTCCCAAGGAAGGGACTGGAAGGCTTCCTACCTTGGGGTTCATCAATATTGGCCCTTGGAGATCTTCTGATACCCCAGGAATCAAGGAGCCGAGCCCTATGCTACCCTACATTCCATCCTCAGACAGGCATCAGAACATCATGTAAGGCGACAGGGAGGAATGGAGTGGCAGAGAGGAGAGCCAGGGAGCCAGACAGCTCAGGAGAAGGCGGCCAGCTAGGAGTGGGAGCAGGAGTCCCAAGAGCCCAGCTAGCCAGGGTCGTGGCCTGACCTCTTTGCCTCCAAATTCCCCAGCCCAGACTGCCTGGGGAATGCAAAGAATCCTCTCCCCACTCCCTGCTTCCTCCCCTGTCTGGAGCAATCTAAATGCTGGGGTTTTTTCCTCTCCAGCTATCAGTAGCATGAGAAAGGAATGCAGTGTTGGGTCCCCATGCACACCCTCTCGCCTAGCATGCCTGCCAGGCTGACAGATGAGTGGAAAAGATGACAGCCATGAGCATCCTCACCCTGGGCCAGGCAAGCCTCCTATCCGCGATGGAAGGGTTGGAGCAGCAGAGGCATCTCAGCACGTATCAGCCTCAGGAAGAGACACTAAGACAGGGAAGCAGGGCTAGAAAACCAAGCAGGATTCCAAGAAGCAGGGTACATGGCAGGCAAGCTGAGACAACAGCCTCTGCGGAGCTGCTCTGGGCTCTCCTGATCAAAGCTGCTGGGACTACGGCAGTGACCATAGGTCCCTAGCAGAGAACCAGCTCATTCTATGTTAGTGGAATTGTCAAGGGCTGGCCAAGAGAAAGGACAGGGACAATTGGGTGAGAAACCAAAACGCCTTAGATTCTTACCTCTGCCCCTGACAGCTATGACCTTGGATTGGGCTAATCCTGCCTCAGCCAACCTACGGTGCGGAAACAGCTGGAACTCTGCTTGCATTCTCTAAATGTCTGTTAAACCTGACAGCTGAAGGACAGCATGAGATTAGATCTGCCAGCATGTGAAGGAATGTGTTAAATAAATGCAGAAATCAACAAAAGGAAAGATTCTGTGGTTATAGCTTTTGTCCTAAGTGAGATTTGCCCCCGAACAGGGCTCTTCATGCCCTGGGCTGGTTTCTGAGCATGGAGATGCCTGCAGGCATCTCTGTGTCTGGAGCACAAGGTTTGACACAGGCGAGTGTACAGTTACATCCACTGAGTAGAAAGAAATCAATGATGATTTCAGAGCTGAGAGGAGTCCCAGGTGCAGGGAGGGAATGGGGAGGTAGGGTTTAATGGAAACAGAGTTCTAGTTTTACAATGACTAGAACTCTGGATGTGGTAATTAGCTTGATTTAATCGTCCTATAATGTACACATGATCAAAATACCTCTTCATACGCCATAAAAGTTTTTCATTTGTCCATTAAAAAATAACAAGAAAAGGGAGTTCTGGAGATGGAGGGTAGTGGTGGTTGTCCTTAAGCACCAAACTGTACACTCACAAATGATTAAGATGGAAAATTTAATGTTATGTTTATTTTGTGATTAAAAAAATTAAACTTTAAAAAATAACAAGCAAAGAATTAAAAATAGGAAGAAATGACCTGAAATGACAAGGCTGCCAAGGGTAAAAATGGCTACAAGTTCTCTGACATTCCTCCATCAAGAGGTGGGATCCCTTTCATCACACTTTGAATCCAGACTGGCTTGTGCCTTGATTTGACCAGCAGAACAAAACAGAAGTGATACTGTGCAATTTCCCAGCCCAAACCCTGAAACTCCTCTTAGATTCATGTATGTGAAGAGGTCCAGGCTGGCCCACTGGAGACATGTGGCCCAGCTGACAGCCAACTGGATGCCTGAGAGGGGTTCTCCTGTAACCTAGCTCCCATCAGGCTCTCAGATGACACCACCATGATCCAGGCAAGGCCAAGAGAAGAACAGCCCAGCTGAGCCCCGCTAACACCAGTAACCCACAGAACCATGAGCTCAAGCCATGAAGCTATGGGGTTGTTATGTAACAACAGATGCTAACAGAGTGAGGAAGGCACCAACTGAGGGACAGCAGGAAACAGGGGCCAAGTCTCCAGCCCCGTACTGGGAGATCTAGGGCTCTGCACTGCCAAAGCCTCCTGTTTTGAGCTCCTCAACAGGGCTCTTTTAAAAATCTTTAAGTCCTAGAAGAATGTGGGGTCCTAGAAGGAGGGAGGCAGGGCTCTTGAAAGCCAAGGCTAAGGAGGAGTGGCAGGGCTTTCTAAAACTCAACACTGACTAGTGAAGGGAGAGGATGGGACAAGCTCCTTTGCTCTTTGAGTAGGAAGCCCTCTATTTCTCCAAGGCTTTCAAAGGCTTCTAGAAGGCTCTCAAGAGGTTAGACAGGAAGGGGAGGACAGTTTGAGAAATAAACTGGTGCTCTGGACTAAAAGGAGCATGAGATGGAGCTGAGAACTCTGAGCCACAAAAGGTCCAGGTACAAGGCGGGACAGATGCCTACTTGTTAGCAAGCTCCCCTGAGTTAGCTGTTTCTAAGAGGTCAGATAAGCTGGGATCCAGGGACAAAGAGCATGAGCACACGTGTATCCTAGCGGACTGCATTTCCACTGTTACCCAGGGCACCTGTTTCCCATACTGGCCCCAGAAGCTGTGCCTGTGCCAGCGGCCACTGCAGGAGCTATGCCACCTTGGCCCGCAATGTCATTTATACCAAGTTAATATTAGATTAAATGTCCTGTCCCACAAATAGCTGACTTGGGAACACAGAACAAGGTAAATTCTTCAGAGAGCAGCTATTCTCATAGGGCCTGTGATAAGCTTAGGTCTTAAGACATTTTAACTAATTTGTCTTTCCATTTCCTTCACCACTGCAGATCATCAGAGAGCCCAGTCCAGGGAAACTTGCACTGCTTCCTGGGTCACCATACCCACAAGCAGAGAGGCTACATGCCTAGCACTACCAGGTGTCACCTGCAGGATTAGTACTTCACACAACCACCCATCATGGGAGCCCAGTGAAGAGAAATATTGAGGGCCCTGGCTGGATACCAATATAATGACTCATTGTCTGCCCACCTACAACTGCCTGTGTAGCACTGGTAGACACAAGCTCCTGTGCTGGCTTTAGGAGCCGTTGTAACTCCAGCTTCCCCAGACAGGATCTTGGTTATGCTGCAGCCAGTGCCCAGAACCCTAGGGAGATGGAATTAATGCCATGCATCCCCTAAACCACCTCTTCACAGTAATAAGAATCAGCTCAGCTGCCATAGGCTCCTACATCCTGAGGCCAGCTCACTTTACTTAGGGCTTTCAGCAGTTACTCACCAAATGCTGTCCATGTGCAAAGAATGGGACCAGCTGCCCTTGAATATTTAAACCCCAGTGCAATGTTTCATTTTAAGACATAGTTCCCCATGGGAGGGCCTCTCAGGGTCCCCTGTGGACTACCCTGACTTACCCTCCTCCCAGACCCCCAGGTACCCATGTCTACTGGGATGAGGGGTTCTGTCCAGCAACTATGTGACAGGTGAAAAACCAGTAAACAGGCCCTGAAAGTATCAGCACTCAAAGGCTATGGTCTGACGGTGCAGTCTGAGCCTTGTCCCAACGCACCGAGTGCCCGTTTGTTGAAGGGACCCTCTAGGGCACAGTACTGGATGCTCTGCATTCAGAAAACCCTGCTCCTTTACTTCTTCCTCTCTGGGTTAGAGACCTTTGCCTTTTAGTCATTTTGCTGCTTAGGAATGCACCTGCCCTGAGGCAATTTAGGGGGTGGTAAATGAATGAAGATCAGTTAAGCCTGAAGCTCCTAAGCAGCTCTGGCAATGCTGCTGCTGCTGCTGCTGATGATGATGAGTGACCAGAGACCAGAGCAAGTGACCCAGGGAGGGCTGTGTGAGCTGAATACCTGACTCTGTATGTCAACTGGCCGAAGCTGCCTCCAAGTTCTCAGAGCTGTGTCTGCAGAGGCCACTCACCAGGTGTTGAGTGCTGCAAGGTGCAGGTGTGAGCAGAGAAAAGGCCCTGACAGAACTGCGCCCCTTACCCAGGCTGCTGGGAGCCCCAGTGGACATCATGGGTGTCACTGGGCCTGGCTGTCAGTACTGACCAATACTTTGAATTCTATCACTAGACCACACACTACAGCTCCTTTCCTCCTCAGGGCCCCCAGCCCTGCCTTTCCACAACCACGGGCACATCACCTGCAGGCTGGTAGCAGGGGGCTACTGCCTTCTGAGTCCATCAAATGCTGAAAAGAAAACACATTAACAACTCAGCTCTTTTTAAAAGGACAAGTGAATCTCAATTTAATCCAACTTACCCTTGTTTCCCAAGAGAAAGGGGCGGAGTGCTCATCTTGCCAAGTTAAGTCCTGAAATACAAATTCAAGAATAAATCTGAAACCCAAACCCAAACACACCCCATGCAAACATCTACCCTGAGCCTTAGAGGAACCAAAACTTAGGTGCCATCTGATGTTGTGCTGCTCTGCACAGAAAGAGCTGACCATCTGCATCAAACTTCTTCCTCAATTTTCCTACTGAGGTTACCAGGCGCTCTTGTCCCCAGCCAAACAGACACTTCATGAATGCTGGTGAGGACCCATCATGGCCTCAACCAGACAGAGAAACTGAGCAGAAATGGAATAACGCCTGACAGTCTCAGCAGAAGCCACTTTGTCTCGGCCCTGACCAGTGATTGCCTTGTGGCCATGGGAGGTGACTTAGCCTTTTGAGCCTCAATTTCCTTATCTATCCAAGGAGGATCACAGGTTACAGCAGCAGCTGTAATGGGCAGGTGAGGTAACCTAGGGAAGGAGCACCAGGCCACACATCTGCACTCCCTTCTTCCCCCCCGAGGGCTGAAAGGAATGAAGAAACTCCACTAAGTTAGAAGGAGAATTCTGAAACCACTCCCCACACTCACAACAGAACACGATGGAAAGACCCTTTGGAACAATCACTGTGGACTTCACCTTGGATCCTGTATGTTTTGTTCATGGACCTAATTGGTTTCACTTGGAGAAATCAATTGCCTTTCCCTGGGTCCCCCCACCCCACTCCCCATGCCCTTCCAGTTATTTCTATGCTAGCAAATATTTCATCTGTATCCAACTTTTATTGGGCAACATTTTTGCTTTTAGACACAGAATCTCACTGTATTGCCCAGCCTAGACAAACCCCTGGGCTCAAATGATCCTCCTGCTTTGGCTTCCTGAGTAGCTGGGACTACAGGTGCACACAGCCACACCCTCTTGTTTCTACTTTTTAAACTAAATCATTGACAAACATTGGGTAATGTGGACTACAATGGTGTAAAATATTTTAAATTGAAATGAACACCAAGTTGATCACATTCATATCCCTCTCAAATCCCAGGTAATTTACATCCTCCCGTAAAGTGCCCAGGTAACCTCTTCTTCTGGCAGGTACTCCCAGCTGTAAGAGGCGGGTAGAGGGGGCGTTCCTTGACTCTCTCTGTCCCACAGGACAAAGCGTTCTGCCCATTCTGCCCCAGACCCTCTTCTTTCAGCCCCAGTTTGAGGGAACTAAGATGCTTAGAGGCAACACCAGGGCTCGTGGAGGGGGCGCCTCACAGCCCCGCCAGGTGTGCACCTAGAGCCTCCAATCCCCCAAGCCGTGTTCTCTCAGCAGACCCCTCCTCCCATAGACAGCAGTTGGGGGCCAGTCTCCAAGCTGGAACAGAAAGCATTCAGTAAGGAACTATGTGTTGACTGCCACATACGCCCCAAGCGCGGCCCCTCAGCAACCTGCTCTGTCCCCAGCACCCACAGTCCATACACAGCAGCGACATCCAGCTGCTTCCACAGACTGACTCTCCTCCCCAGCCTCCCCCTGTGACTCTCCCCCCAGTGTGGGGGCCCAGATCCCAGGCTGCTCACAGCCTCCAGGCCCAGGGAGTGGGGCTGAGACCTGGCTCTGCATTGGCCTCACTAGGGACTAACGCCAGTGGTTGTGCAGTAAGGACTGGTCCCTCTGTGGCTGGGACACTTCATACTCACTGGGGACTAAGAGCTGCTGGGAGGCCAGAACGCAGGCCTTGGTTTTCCCAAGAACGTGTACAAAAGGACTAAAGCATATTCATATCAGGGAAAAAACACTATTAACAAAAGCACTAGATATAAACATAGAGAACTACAAAGGCCGAGGATGAAACTTAAAAACCGGGCTAAGATGCACTAAGCATCTAAACAGATCTGAGAACCGCCTGGTGTGCCACGTGCCACCATCACTGGAGCACGGGAGGCATCAATTCCCATGTACGTGTTTGGTGATGATCCTGACTTCTGAACTGGGCAGGAGCTTCTCTGTCACTCACAGCAGTCAGGGAACCAGGAGAGGGAACAGAGGCCCACTGCCTTTTCATGTGAAATTGTGGTTAAATCCAAGTTACTTCCCAATACACAAATTTGGTTCTTCTAAGAAATGGCTGCCAGGAGGAATGGGGGAGAAAGAGGCTTTGTGACCCAAAGCTCCGCAGGGACTGAGGGCAGCCTCCAGCTGTGGGACTCCTGGCCCAT